CTGGGAGTTGAAGTCCACCCATCTTAAAGTTGCTAAGGTTGAGACACTCTGGTTTAGACTGTTCATTGGTTAGCTAAAACACTAGAAAGCTGGAAGAATCCTTGCATTTCAGTTTCTAGAAGGGCTGGGCACCTTCGTTTCTAAACACGCACGCCAACCCGCCTCAAAACCAAAGTGAACAATGGGTGGTGGGAATTCTACTTCCAATGCCAAGAATGCCTGCGCTCTAGTGAGTTTTAAATCTCTGAGAGGGGAAATCCAGAAAAATAAAATATTTGCTCTCTTTTAGTCCCTCGTATTTTTCCTCGGCAGGGCTTAATGGATAAACAGATACCCACAGTGGAGATTACCGAGCCTAATCTTAACATAATCTTCCGGAATAGCTGTCATGTTTTCTACACAAATAGTGCAAAGTCAAGGATGTACTTGAAGTCTGTTCGGAGGAAAAGGACAAAATCGAGGGGGCTGGGGGGAGCACGTTGACCTGTTATAAAGTCGCCAGCCCTTTTGGTATTTCTGTTGGGCTGTTTGTTAACATCCTTGGCATTTCTTGTTTAAGAAGGACATTGCTGAAGAATGTCAATGCATAGAGATAGAGGTAAGGCACCTCCCATGCACCCTTTTTCATCCTGATTTGTACTGGGTTGGGAAAATCTTTTAGCTTCAAGGCCTGTACCCAACTCATTTCCCTCCGTGAGTGTTTTTCAGAAGCTTTTTGATATTCGGTCAATTCTCTGGTGATCCTGGGGCATCCCACTGAGCTAAATCCCTGGAAGACCGAGTGCTCCATTCGCACGAGATGCTAAAGGGGGTTCCTTCGAACCAGGGTTAGTTATTCCGAGGCCTAGTATATTGTCTGAACTCAACCCATTTGGTCAGTTCGTGGTTTCAACGTGTTGTGTGAACTCAGAAAGTGGGTTAATTCAGCAAGCAAGTGCTGGGGGCTTTGCAAACCACAAGCGCAGATTCTGCAAAATGGATGTGTGAGATAAACCAGGTTTTTCAATCTGATGTCATCATGAGATGCTGGATAGCACTTTCTGTTATCCCTGCTCACCATGGACATAAACCATGCTGGCGCCGTGATGGGAACTGAAATGAAGATATCTGTACAGCATTGGATATGGGAAGGTTGTTAAGGTTAAAACATGAAAATACAGTACCCAATCTTGAAGGAGTCTTTATGCAATACACATAATTTTGAAAATGTCAGGGTCAAAACCAGTACAACATAGCAGCCAGCAGATAAAAATCTGAGAGGATTTCAGATAAATTAAAATCCATGAGCCCCAGTACCAAGAAAACATTAGAAATAGTCCTATGATTTTAGTGAGCCCAAAAGAGAGGATTGAACTCCCAAGAAAACATCAGAGCACAACTCCAGGAACATCATGGAGTCAAAGGTGAATCTCCCTCCCCAACCCTGATCCACATTGGAGCCCCTCTGCTAGCAATTGCCTTTCATATATATATTTTTTTCCCCACAGACCTGCTTTTCATCCCATTTAATCCTGAAAGGCTTAGGAGTCACATTCCACCATCCCACGACCCTTTCTTTCCAGGGTATTTGCTACAGAGGGTGGGGAACATCTTTTGTCCTGAATGCGTCATTTTGCTCTCTATGACTTTGCCCCCCCAGGTTTTTTTGGACAACTTATGCTGTTGGAAGTACCAAGATGGAGGGCAGTGAGAAGGAATTTGGATCTCCCAATAGGGGAGGTGAGGAAGAATTGCTAAACCCCTCGAACCTTATTGATGAAGTCCAAGACCTGGAGAAGCAGCTGTCGCAGATCCACGTCCACGTTCCTAAAGTTCTATAGTAAGCACTATCTAACTTGGTGGCATGAAAGTTAGTTACTGTTTTGACCCATTTTCTGGGTTTGCAAATAGGTTGTATCATAAGCCTACTAAATGGGCTGAAATTTATTAGCACATTGTGAAGATCCACGTTGAAATTTATTAGCATGTTGTGAAAATGCAGTCACCAGGCCTTGATTGGTTGAGCCTCTTGTACAAACACAGGTTGTCTGTGCAAATTGGGGGTGTATGTGGTAACCTCCTGTCTCACCAACCTTTTTAAAACTGTCTGAGCTAGTTAACCTAAGCTAGTTAGCTGCATTTTAGCCTTGTTTATTGGTCCAAACCAACCAGGTAGTTTATGGTGCAGTGTGTCCTGTGAACCCAGGAATTTCAGTTCAGTTAACCATCAGGAAGCATACTATGCCATGGCTGAAAATTAGCCCAGGTTAAAATACTCTCTCTAGAAACAAATCCTATGTACCTATCAGGCTAAGCCAACCTTCCCCTGATCTGATCCTGGGCTGATTTGGAAGCCCAACACATCTGAAGGGCATCAAGTTTGGGAAGTCGGTTCAGAACAGTAATTATGTTTAATCTTGACCTGAGTAAATAGGGACAAAGACTTGGTTTGTGCATCACCCAAAGCCATGGCTTGTTTTAATCATGCTTTGTTTGGCTTCTTTTGCAAATGCAGGCAACACAGCAGCAAAACTTGAGGGAGGGTGTAATGGGGAGACATATCGAAATATTATTTGCAAAGTGAGGAACGGCTGGGACAGAATGTGCACTTTTCATGCAAAAAGGTCTAGAATGTTTCCAGTTAAGACTTCTGTATTATAATTTCCTCTGATTCACTTCTGGAATTTCATGGGGAGTTTCCAGATCCATAGCCCGTAAACAATAACTATTACTGTCCTGCTTCAGTCACAAAGAAGAACACGATGTGCATATTTCAGGAAATCTTCCTATGTGTCTGTATGGGTGCATGCAACCTGCAATGTTGTTGTTCTTTCTTTATTTATTTAAATGTATTGGCCAATTTATGTTCTGTTTTTACTTAGGACAGGACCTAGTAGCTAAGATAATAGCTGGCCTCCCTTGTTCTGAAACAAGCTTGTGTTTTCTTTTTGTCTAACCATTTTTGCCCCAATATTTTGAGGCTGCTGCCCGCTGATCCAGTGTTCTGTTGGCTCAATCTTTGAGTGTGATAATCTCATCTCTTTATCTGTGTGTTCCCAGTTACAGCATCTTTCATTAAAACCAGT